CCTTGCTGCTACTGCTGTTGCTGTTACTATCGCCGCTGCTGCTGCTGCTGCTGCAGCTGTTGCTGTTGCACCCACCCTGCAGCAGCAGCAGCAGCAGCAGCAGCAGCAGCAGCAGCAGCAAAGGGACTTGCGCATGCAGCACTCACGAGGGCCATTGCATGCGCAGCCAAGAGATGCATGCAAACATTAAAGCTTTCTATTTCCTCCTTCAGGAGGCCCCCCAGCTTCCAGCAGAACCGACGCGGGGCAAAGCCCTTTGCTGCACCCTGGGGGGAATGGCGAGCTGCAGCAGCAACAGCAGCAGCACCAGCAGCAGCAGCAGAAGCAACATGAGTAACAGAAGTAGCAGCAGCAGCAGCATGTATGGCAGCAGCAGCAGGAAGCTGCCGATAGACCAGGGCACCACCCGTGGTGCTGCAACGTCCACAGCAGCAGCAGCAGCAGCAGCAGCAGCAGCAGTGCTAGCAGCAAAAGCTATACATAAGCAGCAGCAGCAGCAGCAAAGCCAGAAGCAGCAGACAGCACACACGCGTCTTACCTTTCACTGTCTCCTTTTCGCTTGGCGGTGATACTCCTACCGCATGCAGCCCCACAAGAAGGTGCAGCAGCTCCTCAGCTGCAGCAGCAAAAAACACGAGACACACACCGCACAGGTGCAGCAGAAACAGCACCAGCAGCAGCAGCAGCAGCAGCAGCAGCAGCAGCAGCAGATAGCCCCCCCAGCCCGGGGGGAGACATCTGCAGCTGAAGAGGGAAGTAAAACGGAGACAGAGAAATGAAACAGAGACAGAAGCCGCAGATGCAGCAAAGGAGACAAACAAACAAAACACAAGAGCAGCAGCAACGAGAAACAAACAAATAACAAACTAAACAAACAAACAAATACTGAAACAGCAGAGAGGGGTAGATAGCTCACTGCTCAGCTCCTGCAAGTGCCTTCTTAGGGCTCCGCATGCAGCCCCGAAAAAAACAAAGTCCATAGCTGGGTGCTGCTGCTGCTGCTGCTGCTCCTCTTGCTGCTGCTGCTGCTGCTGCTGTTGCTGTTTCAGCTGCAGCAACAGCAACTGCAGCAGCAGCTTCGGCTCCAGCAACCCTAATAAGCGTATCGTTCGCCGACGAGGCAGAGGTGCTGCTGCGGTTGCTGGGTTGTTCTGCTGCTGCTGCTGTTGCTGCTGCTGCTGCTGCAGCTGCTGCTGCAGCTGCTTTCTTCGCTGCAGCTTTGTTTGCGGGCGCTGCAGCTGCTGCATCAGAACACTTTTGAGTGTCTGCTGCTGCTCATGGCTGCCTGGCAGCGCGAAGGAGCAGCACAAAAGCCGTGCAGCAATAGTAGATGCTGCTGCTGCCAATGGTGCTGCTGCTGCTGCTGCTGCTGCTGCTGTTGCTGTTGCTGCGCCTAGTCCCCTCACTGTGGGTAAGAGGCAATCCGTAACACGAGAGAAGAGAGCGTCTACTAGCCGCAGCTCCCACTGGCGCTGTAGCTCGGCTTGCCTGGTATCCACATCTGCTGCTGCTGCACTTGCTGCTGCACCTGCTGCTGTTGCTGCTGCCTGGAAAGAGATTTGCTAGCTGCGAAGCTGCTGCACAGTAGTCCCTTCAGCAGCAGCA